GGTAAACTAGGTGTCGCCCAATTCTACAAAGACACACATTTACACAAATCAGTAAAGTTGAGGCTCAACCCTTCACTGATATTTTTAAACTATCTTCTACATGCTAATTAAAATAAATAAATAAATAACCCTTGTTTTAAATGACATTTCTTTCAGTTAACTTAGATATTTCTCTATTAACAATTTCAACAAATAAAAACTGTGTCTAAACAGTGAAGAAAAGCACAGATTTTGAATAAGTGTGACACTGCAACACACTTTTAATGCCTTTGCTTTCGTTTTATGCAACAAATAGATTTTGAATAAGCCAAAATTGAAAGTATTTGATCTGCTTTGCTACAGTTGCTTTGAATTGTAGAAAGGCATAAAATAATGATGAATTAAGAATTGTAATATTTGAACATTTTAAAGTCAATTGTAGATATAATTTTGAAATTCCCGACACAGGCACACATACCAAAAGCAACCCTTACGCAATGAGTGCCACAGTCACTAAACCAGGTTTTCGGGATGGTGCATAAAGCAGGATGGACAATTTGTGCTCTAAGAACTTCGGAAAAATTCATATAAATTAAATTTGTTCTCCAATTATTCCAATAATTCCAAACATTAATTTAGAAGTCAAACAACAAAAATCAGCGTTATGTTCACAAATTTTCAAATGCCTAGTTTTGATGGTTTTACCAAACCATCATCCTCAGCTGCCAAAGCACAAATGAACGAGATAAAATATTGTGATTAGATTAGCTAAGAATGGTTGAACAGGACTTAAGCTACTGGTGCCATCTATTGAAGATGGCACCAGTAGCTTAACTCTTACTCTAAGGTTGTCTACAATTTCACTTTGTGATTTTCTAATTCTGATTAATCCAGTTGAATCTTCCTAACACTTAATAAACGGGCTGCCCACATGGTAGTCTTAAATAAAAACCAATTTTTGGTGACTATATCTCTGCCATTTGGCAATTTTGCTTCAGTTCAAATAATTCATTCTGCGGCATTTTGATAACATTAACCAAATTGTTGATTACAACAAATTACGAGTTCTTCATATTTCCATATACAAACAGGTTGGACTTTGACAATTCGATTACAGTATCAGAATGATAACATTAAGCCACACCTACAGTATATTATATCCACAATTTATACCTGTTGATCATGTAATTAAATAAACATTTCAGAATATTTTAAGTAAATAAAAAGCTGTCTGTTCTTATATATTTCTGACAAGTTTGGTAGTATCTCTGCCAACTTTCAGAATTAACCAGAGTCCACTTTCATGGCCAAAGAGAAAATATATAAATACCTATCTGTCTATAAACACTTATGCAATAACACTGACAAATAACAAAAATATTATGTAAACATCTATAGTTAAATAACAGAAACAAGAGACCAGAAGAACACTAACTAGTTACAACAGAATCCTGCAAATTCAATGTAATGTGAACCAAATGAATGATTAATTACCGAAGATGTCAAAATTTATGGAACAGAGCAGTTACTCAGAACGACCTGAAAGTTTAGCTTACAGTACTGTCACGGCCACTGCCAGAGCATGTACTATCGATGCACCTGCACTAGGTGACATAATTTTCAGAATTTAGTACAGAAGTGAGAGGCAGAATTCACAACAGGCAGTAAGAAGTCTAGCCCCGAACAGCATACCCTATAAACATCGAGGCAAGTCTGCTAGTAACTGAAATGCGAGTGATAATCGACTGCTGCTGCCTTACTTTTTTTGGCCATTTAGTCACAGAGAGAAGAAATGGGATAGACTGGGAATTCCACAAAAAGAACAAAACTCATGACAAATTTGTTATACCTATATTCCAAGAAACAGTGCCACAAAGAGAAAAAGACAACTTTTAAATTAGAATACTATAATAAATTTTTGAACAAACAAGGAAATATGTAAACATTTATATGTATAAATATATATTGTAACTACAATATCAAAGTAGTAAAAAATTTTTTATACAGTTTACACCACAGATCTTAAGAATCACTAAGTCTAGCTATTAATAAACCACAACATTATTTCAGATGTAATCTTCCGATTGACCAACAAAAATCAATTCTTCAAAAATTAATCATCAAATTACACAGGATGTTGAGTAATCAGGATTCCACAGCACAAACAGCCAGTTACTATACGTCACAACTAAATGCCATACTTTTATAACTTCATTATGTGAGAAATTAGAGGTATTTTTGTTAAAATTTCATTGCAATATCTTCATCAGTGTTAAAATTAGCAAACAGTAAGTCTGATGACAAGTGGGCATGAATTATGCGCATTATGAATTATGCACATTATTAGCATGAATTATGCAGAAATTATAACAGTAGTGAATAAATCTAAATGATATATTTCAATACATCAGAAAATACATAAAAATCTATAACCTTTTACTAACTAGCTGAGAGACTATTAAATATGTTACTGCTTTTGAATCTATAAGAAAGCATTAATTATTGAAGAATTATTGATATAAAATATTCAACTATCAATCTTGATCAGTTTTCATTAAAAAGTATACCGAAAGAATATTTTATGTTGATATTTATTTACTGGCAATATGAAGAATTTTTACTTCATACTATATTTTGTTTATCTAATACAATAAATTAATCAGAAACCGAATCATTTCCCAAAATCGGGGATCTCTAAACTTTTTTTTATTACATATCCCCAAAATAAAAATCAGTATAAAGCTGTACCTCATGTAATATAGTATTTATCTGCATTATATTTGCGTGTACTGTAAAAAACAAATTTGTTATTTGTTTATTTTTAAAAACGCACATAAATTTAATAAATTACAATTTTATGTTTTGAATTATAATTTAATAACAGCAAAACAATTGTATTTGCTTAGTGATATTGGGAAAATCTAATGCCCTCTGTTAATGTAGCTCGAAGATCTCTAATCAATTTTTATATTTAGTTTTAATTGTCATTGCAGAAAATGCTACTTCATATGGATCTGTAGAACCAAATAGCAAGATTACATTCTTTGTTGTGCTTACTAAATTTGGATATTCAGTTGTCAATCACATCCACTAATTATAAAGAGAGTTTTCTTTAAATATGAACTGTAATGTTCTTAAGTTTCACAAAGAATATTTGTTTAGCTAATTTTAAGTACTTCAAGCAAAAGAATGGGCCAATGGATGGATTTTGTTACTTCCACCTTCTCTTGTAAAAATATACAAAAGTTTCATTTAGAAAGTCTTCAATTATAGACAACAACAACAACAACAACAAAAAAAAAAAAAAAAAAAAGGAAGGTTGCTAAAAAACGCTTTACCCATCCCTAAAAGTGGCAATTTATACACATTTTAAAACACTCAAATCAGCTTTCCTAATTATTATAAATTCAATTTTATGGCTGAAAAATGAATAATTTTAAAATGTATTTTTATGCAATAAAGTTATTTTTTAAAAATGTAAAACAATAAAAAATAGAATCTATTAAAATTCTGAAAAAGACAGTCCTGATTGCCTAATCAGAATATTTCAAGTAAAAAAAAGAATAGCTTTTTAGAATAAGCAAGAAAAAGGAAAACCCTCAATATAAATATTTCAAATATTTTTTTGAAATGCAAATATACATGCCAGTAACAGCTACAAAGCATAACATACATGCCAGTTACATGCAAAGACTAGCGAAGTTAATAGCATGCTGAGGCTGACTACATAAACTCACCTACTACATATTACTGACTTGGCTTGCAATCTGAAATAAACCCACAACTTTATTTACAGAAAATTAATAACTGCATCTCTCAATATATTTCAAGATGGTGGTCTCAAACTCAAATTGCATGCGGGTCAAACGCATAACCTAAACACAGCTAATGGGCCAGCTTTTTTTTTTTTTTTTTTCAAAATTCATTAAAAATTTTTAACTGAATATTAAATTTCATTTATTATTTATTTATTAAAACATACATAAACAGTAATAATAATGCAAAAGATTCAAATTCATATTTATTTTCAATATAATGTCTAAAGTCTGATAGCTCGACATATTTCTCAGTTACAACTTTTTAAGTCTAGCATATTGACAGCTAAACAATAATATTTCAGTGACATTTATTTCAAACAATTCTAGCACATTTAACTAATCATTAAATAGCTTACTTTAAATTAAAAATAAACAAGTTAAACTATCCAAATAGGACAAAACTTGAGAATAAATAATGACAGCTCTTTTTCTTTGACACATGCAGGAAAAAATACATGTGTTTGTACGTAAGCCTTGGAGAAAAATTACTAGAAATTATCTTAATCACAGATTATAGATCTTTATTGGTTAATAGAGTTCTTTTCATGCTAATTCTCGACCAAAAACACAGCTATTCACATATAAATTCTCCTGAATAAAGGAATTATCCTCAGAGCAAAAATTCATACCTGAGCATGCTTAATTTTTGACAACTACAAATAAAAGCTATTCAAATTTGAATATGATTTATATCAGATTGTAAATTAATTTGCTCATTTTTAACGATAATGACAAGAACATAAAGTAGGACTTCAAAGAATTAAAATACTGAAATCTTTACAACATGGTATTTGCAACAAATGCATAACTGAAATGTATCTGCATAAAATCATTCAGGGGCTGCATATGGGCCACTAGTTTGAAACCACCATTTTAAGGTATTAATATTTTATTATGTATGCTATGAAAGATAATAGTTACATAACATTAATAAACAAATAATTAAAAATTCAGTTCAAAAATCTAGGCTACTAAGCTACACTTAATAAGATTTACTTCTATTACAAATCAACAAAAAATGTATATAAATGAATCTCGGGGCAAGGAAAACATACATTAATCTTCCCCTTTTTTTATTATTATTATTGTAAACTTCTTTACTTAAATTCCTTCAAAAAGTAATAAGCAGAGTTAACGTATCATAAGCAGAGATAATATGCACTTTTAAATTTGAAAACAAATGCTTAGTTTAAATGCACTCACCAAACTTTTCAATGGTATCCTCCTGCACGAGCTGAAATAAGAAAAATAGTCAATGCTAAAATAAAAAGCTACAGTTTCTTCTCCAGTCTTAGGAATATAAAGAAAAATCCAAAGATAAAATATAAACTTGCATGGATTAATAAGAAGTTACTTAAAATACCATCTTAAATCATCATAACACATTACAGTGAAAGTTATATGCAACAAAAAAATTAAATACACTTAAATAAAAGAATACTAAAAGTTAATTATGCCATTCTGAAAATAAAGAATCTAACTTAATCAGTTAAAAAAAAAAAGGCTGCTTTTCGCCACTTAGAAAAGTTTAAATTGCCACACATTTCTAGCATCTACTTATTACAAAAAAATTAGATGGTATTCAATCCAAATAATTTTAAATTCGGTCATGAGTTGTAAAAAATACAAATTTCTGACACAACTATAAATTAAATAAAGATATATTTAAAAAACAAAGGCTAATAATTAATATGCTGGAAGTAAGTGATTTGCAGCATATAAAGCTGAAGATATGGCTAAAGGTTATCCTTATTTAAACAGTTTTTTTATTTATTTCCCTTACATGATCTGTAAAATGTTAAATGTCACAAAACTAAACGTTCAGAACATTTTTAGTAATTTCCTCAATAAGATATGCAAACTCAATTGTTTTTTACTATGTTCCTTTAACTGACAAATATGTTAATTATGTGAAATAAATAATTAAAAAAATTATATGATAGAAATCGAAATTTATGGCAAAACGATGGCAAAAAAGAGAAAAGAAAAAGATTAATCTCCAAATACCAATGAATTATCACATATGGAAACTTACAAAAAAAAAAAAAAATGTGACTATACCGCTTGCCAGCAAGACTGAAAAGGCATATTTTCAAATTCTTATCACATAGGAACGAAGAACAAAGTTCGTTCCGTTGATCAGAACTAGCGGCATGTTTAAACAGGACCACAAATAAAGTGATAAGAAAATTAAGATTGAATCGACTCTGATGTACAAAGGCTGAAGTGTTTACACTTAAATTGCGCGAACACAATAAATTTCATGCCGCGTTTCTTTCCTAAACTGAAAAACAGAAACTTACCGAACCCATTATCACCACTGTTTACGTTCTCAAACTCACATGATGCATTCAATTTCTTCGAATTTACCTTAAATTAAACCGGTAAAAATTTGCATAATCTAGTCTCCTATCAGATAGAGGGCTCTGGGTACTCAGGTACTTTAACTAAGTTGAAAAACTTGAATCATACAAAGGCTATAAATTCACATGTTACACGAATTTCACATTTCACTTTAAATGTGAAGATTAATTTATTATCATATTTACTTTCCGAAGAGATAAGGAATGAAACTAGAGACAGCGATTAACATCATTATGAGCTCGTGCTACCCAATGCAACCAATGCAAATAAAAAAAGCAAGCAATGTTTATTCCCTACATGTAAGGCTTAATATTAACGATATCATTAACCCAACAGATCATCTTCCATTAAATTATCTTGTACTATTACATTATTTGCACTACTTATGTTTGATTATGAAATATATTAATTTTCCTATGTTGTATCAGAACAAGAACAATTTATATCTGAATTACGGATAACTTTATCAGAACTTGTAGACTGTATTATTAATATGTTATTTCATAAGTACAAATAACATATGAATAATGATATCGTCTGCTCATATCATCTACTAATATCGTCTCCTCATATGATCTCCTCATGAGGTATGCTCATATCGTCTGCTCACATCGAAGACTGATATCGTCTGCTCATATCGTCTGTTCGCATTATCTGCACTTATCGTCTGCCATAATGCCTGCCGATATCGTCTAATCATATCTTCTCCTGATATCGTCTAATCATATCTTCTCCTGATATCGTCTGCTCATATTGTCTGCTCATAATATCGTCTGCACGTACTTTCGGGAGATATCGTCCGCTGATATCCTTTCCTCACATCGTTTGCTGATATCGTCTGCTCATATCACCTGCTCATATGGTCTGCTGATATCGGCCACTCATAACGTCTGCTCAAATTGTTTGCTCATATACTCAGCTGCAGAGTCGTAGCTAGGGTTTTCAGCGCCCAGGGACAACTGAAGATTTCGCGCCCCCAACTGCTTGCCAAGGATGGAAAACATTTAATTCTAAAATGTCGTAACATCAGTTTGGCGCCCCTTGGATTCTGCGCCCGGGGACAGATGCCGCCCTTTCCCCCCTCTAGCTACGCCCCTGCTCAGCTGATATTGTCTGCAGGTACCGTCCGCTGATAACGTCTGCTCATATCGTCTATTGATATCGTCTGCTCATATCATCCTCGGTATCATCTGACCAAATTGTCTGCTGATATCGTCTGCACATATCGTCTGCTCATATCTTCTCCTCATATCATCTACTGATATCGTCTGCTGATATGGTATGCCCATATCGCCTCCGCCTATTGCCTCCTGGTATCGCCTGCTCATATCGTCTACGGATATTGTTTGCTGATATCCTCTGCTGATATAGTCTTGTGATAACGTCTGCACATACGTTTGCTCGCATTGTCTGCTGAAATCGCCTGCACATACCGTCTGCTCAAATTGTCTGTACATCGTCTGCTCATATCATCTGCTGATATCGTCTGCTGAAATCGTCTCCGCATATTGTCTGCTGATATCCTCCGAACATATCAACTGGTCATATCGTCTGCTCATATCAGATGCTCATATCGTTTGCTCGTATCGTCTACGAATATCCTCTGCTCATATCACGTGTTTATATCGTCTGTTGACATCGTCTGCTCGTATTGTTTACTCATATCGTCTCAATACATCGGTTGCTCATATCGTCTGCTAATATTGTTTGTTGGTATTGTCTGCTCAAATCAGGAAAACATACAGATAAACTGGGGTAAATGTAATCGAGGCATATCTGTACCGAGGTAACATATAGCCCAGTTTATCTGTTCTTCCCATGTAAATAACTTGTTACTTTAATGAAATTTATTTTGTCAACAGTGTAATGTATTGACTTGATATGTAATCTTTTGTCTTTATACTCAATAAATACCAGGAAAGATTAGTGCAGTGGGGCAATACCACTTTTGTCTATGAAGATATTGTGGTGCCCCCGCACTTTTTCCTGCCCTGTCTGTTCATATCGTCTGCTGATATCCTCTGCTCATATCGTTTGCTGATATCGTCTTTTGATATCGCTTTTCACATCGTTTGCTCGTGTCGTCTGCTCGTATAGACTGTTCATATCGTATGCTGATATCGTCTGCTGATATGGCGTGCTGATATCGCTTGCTCATATGGTCTGGCCATATCGCCTGCTCGTATCGTCTGCTCATGTCGTTTCCATATATCGTCCGCTAACACCGTCTGCTCATATCGTCTGTTCGTATCGGCTGCTGATATCATCTGCTCATATCGTCTACTCCTATCGGCTGCTCATATCGTCCTGTCATATCGTCTACTGATATCCTATTGCACATATGGCCCACTGATATCGTCTGCTGATATCTTCTGCTAATATCGTGTGCTGATATTATCTGATGAAATCGTTCGCTCATCCCGTCTGCTCTTATTGTCAGCTCATATCGTCTGCTCAGATCTTTGCTCATCCCGTCTCTTCAGTTCGTTTGCTCATATCGTCTGCTGATATGGTTTGCCCACACCGTCTGATCAGGTTTGTATTTTTACGTTTGTTTTTGTTTCTTTATTCTAACGTTTTAGTTACCGGGACTAATTCCTTGGTTTCTCGTGGCATGTTAATCTATCTTTTGCTCGGTGAGCACGGCCGGGCCGCTGGTCGCCGTCGTTTGTGGTTTGATGGAAGAAGCTCCGATAACCATATGGCAGCAATGCCAGGCGGGTGGACTTCTCTCCTCTTTCTTACCGTCTGATCATATGGCCTACTCATATCGTATGATTGCTCATATCATCTGTTCGTATTGTCTTCAAATATCGTCTGGTGAAATCGTCTGTTGATATCGTTTGCTGATATTATCTGCTCCCATCTTTATGCTCATATTGTCTGCATATATCGTTTGCTCATATCGTCTGCTGATATTGTCTGCAAATATCATCTGATATCGTCTGCTCATATTGTGGGCCCATATGGCCTGCTCATAACGTCTCAGGATATCGTCTGCTCTCTTGTTTACGAGTTTATGTGTTGGGTGAGTGAGTTATGTGTCGTCTTACTATTTTTTGTTTTCTAACCGATTTATGCTTATGATTTCCTCATTTTGTATTGTGTAAGTGTATCTTAAAGATGCACAATCTGTTTTAATCCGTTTAATCTGTGTTTTAATCTTTTGTTTTTATCATTTAACTGTGTTTTTGTTTGTCTGCGTCGGATGTGCTGCGTTAAACATGAGGCCGATTATTATCGGCCAGGAGGGTTGCAGCATAATCGTAAACTAAACTAAACTAAACCGTCTGCTCATACTATATCTACTAATGTAGTCTGCTGATATCATCCTTTTCATCGTCTACTAGTATCATCTGCACACATTGTCTGCTGATATCAGTCTGATCATATCATCTGTTGATATCGTCTACTCATATTTTCTGGTACAAATGGTGTACGACAGCTTAAATGTTACAACAGATGCTCGAAGATTGCACCATCAGACGTTAAACATGCCTAACACCGAAGGACCATCTGAATGCCACGAATTATTTGAACTTTCTGGAGCAGGTTCTTCCCATTTTGCTTGAATGGTGTTCCGCCAAATATGAGGCGCAACATGCGATTCCAACATGACGGGTCGTCCCTGTTCATTTCATTTTGGATTGGATGTTCGTAGCCATTTGAATAGATCATTCCCGCATCACTGGATTGAACGTGGTGGACCAGTTCCCTGGCCCCCCACGCTCACCGGATTTATCGAGCCCTGATTTCGTTTTGTGGGAAGCCATCAAAAGTGTCGTGTATCACGATCCTGTTGTGTTTGAAATGGATCTCATGGCAAGACTCGCCTGCGCAGCTGCTACAATCAAAGACACTTCCGGTGTGTATCATGTCCGGCAATAAATGGTCCGTCGTTGTCAGGCATGTTTAGCGTCTGATAGTGCAAACTTCGAGCATCTGTTGTAACATTCAAGCTGTTGTAGACCATTTTTATTGATGTCCAATAATGTTTCAAATTAACCCATTCAGGACCAGCGTCGCGTATACGCGACGCAACGATTCCACTCCTTCAAGCCCAGCGTCCCGTATACGCGACGCAACGATTCTACTCCTACGAGCCCAGCGTCGCGTGCACGCGACATTAAAACGGAACGATTTATTTGAATTTTTAAAAGCCAGTAAATGGAACTAAGTGGTAATTGTTTTCACATAGGTTGATTCATACGGCATTTGACCTTCATGTACTGGCATTAGTTTCTGTTTTGTGCTTCAACATAAGCTTTCTTGATTAGTTAAAAAGTAACATTATAACATTATTACAGAAGGGGAAAGACTATCAGCTTTCTCGACGCGTAATGCGTCTTGCTCACATTTCTCAGGAAAGAGCCAGCGTTTTTGCTTTTCTTACTCGATTTAATAGGTCATTATATATAATGAAACAGGCATTATAATTTGGTATATAATGCATTTACTTTACTTAAAATGTAATTATATATAATGTATAGATTGACGTGATCAGTAACGGATATCCCGCCAGTGGGGGTCTTTCCTTGATCACTTTCTGGTCATCGTAGACGCTGTTCTCGATTTAGAAAAACAGCAAGTTTTCTAATATAAACCTGATGTTACACAGGGTTTGAGGATGAAATATTCAGAGTGTGTTTTGAAGAAGTTTTGAGACATATGTTGGGGTTATATTCAGTTTCTTTCAGTTATGACTGAGACCTTAAAAACTTAAAAATTTGTCCAAAATCACCTTTCCGTCTAACTGGAAGACAGTTTACGAAAATTTACGTTGACGGAAAAGGTAATAAAAGTAGGAGAAGATGCTTTGTGTGCGCTAAAACCAAGGAAAAGCGAAAGCAAACAACGTATTTTGAGTGTGAAATATGCAATGTAGGACTGTGCGTCCATCCTTGTTTTGAATTATTTCACACACAGCAGAATTTTTAAATTGAAATTTAATTACCTACAGGTAATTCTTGTTTATTTATTTATCTTTTTTACATTTACTTATTTCTGTGTGTATAGTAACGATTTTAGTATTTTACCTGTTCAATTTATTTCTATTAATGTAATATTCTTTATATTAATACACATTAAAACAAGTACATTAAATACGCAATTTCAAAAATTGAAGTCATAATATCAAAATGCTGATTTTATACGATTTTTTTTCTTTTTTGTAAAACTAAGCTTAACTGCTGAAAATGCGTAGGCTGGTGGCGACGATCCCGTTACTGAGCTTCGTTCTCACGACGCTGGTCCTTAAGGGGTTAATCACTCATTTCTTTTCCCATCTTCTACCATTTATCCCGACATTTTCGGGCATGTGTTGCTATGCAATTCTTAATCCTTATAATGTTCCTACCAGTGGCTAAAATTAGTGGGAGTGCTGTTCCAAAAAAATTTAACCTTTGTTTTAAAATTGTGTAAAAGAAAACAAACATGTATAAAAAAAAATTATTTTGAAACAAGAAAAAACAAGAAAAAAATTAAACATTTCTTAATTACTTTAACCAAAATTGTTATGGTTGTCCATTCATTTAAAAATGAAATCTATTCTTCTTGTTTTAATTTGCGCGAAAAGATCAATAATTTTCTCCTTGTTCTCTGGATTACAACTGAGAAAATTTTTCTTTATTGAAAGCAATGGAAGCGCATTTAGTCTTTCGGAGTTCCCAGTGCTTCTTAGAAAAGTTTTCATTCTTTTCAACGTTGAAAAGCAGCGTTCTGCCTCTGATGTAGTCATGAAAACTCTCAATAGAATTTTTATCAGTTTCGTAATTTCACTAAGAACATCATCTGGATTACTTTTGAAGATAAATTTCAGTAGCTCAATTAATTTGCAGTATTCATGGATATCAGACCTGCAATAGAATACTTTTAGTTCAGGTTCAAGCTTTTCTTTGTCAATCATTGGATATGCTTCAATGGTCAATACTATTTCTTCTGTAGAATGTTCCTTCCTAAAACTAAGCATTTCTTGTTAAACAATTTAGCAGCTGCTAAGTGTTTAGTGGAAGAATATCTGTGCATTATATCAATACAGAGTATAAAGTCACATATTTCCTTAGCTTCTGCCATCAGTGGCTTTGATAAATTATCACAGTACTTTGAGTTTCTTAATTCTAAGCTAGCAGTTTTGGAATTTGTTATATATTCATTAACTTTTAACACACTAATTTCTCTGAATTGCATTTGATTGTATATTATTTCAACATGAGGCATCTGATAAAAAAGCTCTAACCAAAACTTCGGAATATATATATATTGCAGATATAGTGGAGCTGATGTTCTTTCTTTCTAGAGGTTTTATTTTATTGCTCTTGGATTTTTCTTCTAGCATTAAGATTAATGTATTATTCAGTTTTTATAGAAATAACTGATGAGCTTCTTAGTAAAACATAAATTTTATTCTCAATTCACGAAGATGGATAATTTAAATACAATTTTATTTCAGAAGTCAAACAACAAAAATCAGTGTTATATTTTCAAAATTTTCACAGGACTAGTTTCGATAGTTTTACCGAACTACCATCCTCAGCTGCAAAATCGCAAATGAACAAGATAGGAAATAATGATTAGATAAGATAAGAAAGCATGGACAAGAATAAGCAAGTGGCGCCATCTGTTGGTGAAACCAGAACTAAAACATAATTTCTTTAAAGGCCGAAGGCAAAGACGGATTTGAATTAGGATCGCTAACTAGAACAGAAAGATTTTTTTGAATGTGAAATGCCACTAGAAAATCCAGTTCTCCAATGGAAGATGTTTTTTGAATAATTTTGGCAGCAGAAAAATTGAAAGCGTGATTTCTGGCCAAACTAAGAGAGCCTTAAAATTTCGTGTCAAGGAACATGAGGCACATATATTAGCAAAAAGGAAACACAGAAGTCTTCTGTCGCTCAACATTGTTGGTCCGAAAATCACACTTTCAATTTTTCTGCTGCCAAAATTATTCAAGAAACATCTTCCATTGGAGAACTGGATTTTCTAGAGGCATTTCACATTAAAAAAAATCTTTCTGTTCTAGTTAACGATCCTAATTGCATTCCATCTTTGCCTTCGGCCTTTAAAGAAACTATGTTTATATTATTAGTTCTGGTTTCATCAACAGATGACACTACTTGCTTAGTCTTGTCCAGGCTTTCTTATCTTATCTAATCATTATTTCCTATCTTGTTCATTTGCGGTTTCGCAGCTGAGGATGGTTGTTCGGTAAAACCATCGAAACTAGTCCTGTGAAAATTTTGAAAATATAACGCTGACTTTTGTTGTTTGACTTCTGAATTAGTATTTGTTTGGCGTGTTATTGTTTCTTAATTACAATTCCATTTGTTACAGTTTCACACTCAGGCTTACTATTACAGTTTCTTTCTCTATAAATTTTTCATACATCTACTACTGGTAAAATTTTCAGAGTAATATTTTTAAACATTTTCTGACAACGGTTACAGGATACAAATATGCTGTTGCCACTCCAATATAATTATTTGTTTTTGGTAAAACCATCGAAACTAGTCCTGTGAAAATTTTGAAAATATAACGCTGACTTTTGTTGTTTGACTTCTGAATTAGTATTTGTTTGGCGTGTTATTGCGTCTTAATTACAATTCTATTTGTTACAGTTTCACACTCTGGCTTACTATTACAGTTTCTTTCTCTATAAATTTTTCATACATCTACTATTGGTAAAATTTTCAGAGTAATATCTTTAAACATTTTCTGACAACGGTTACAGGATACAAATATGCTGTTGCCACTCCAATGTAATTATTTGTTAAGTAATAAAATATTACAAGACCTATACTTTTTGTATGGTTTAGCAAAAATTTTTATGTCTAAATGGCAACAAAAAAATAGTGTTTTAACAGAAGAGAACAAGAGTACACATGAGTGATAAATCAGTCTTTTTCTTACACTGATGACAGTGATGATATTTTTGCAGATTTGGAAAGTGGTAAATATAACGAATCTAACATCAACATATTTATTTGTTAATATATATTTATTTAAAGTATGTTAAAAATTACACATACTGGTTTTTTATGAAGCAGATTTTTAGTAATTTTTATTTTTCTTAACCCTCTGGCTGATCATCCCGCAATTTCCACGGGCAACTCAAATGTAGCAAAAATTCGCTTATCCTGCAGGCATATGTTTTTTTTTTCCTTTATTAAGGAGTGCATCCCGTTTTTCCACCGTTTAAGCATCGAAATAAATTACGTACAGTATTAGGAGCTTAGTTTACATTTTGGCAAACAGATATTGTTAGTTGTCCACTAAATTGCAGCATTTGAAGGCACATGGTATTAGCGCTGAAACTTCACTTTTTGCCACTTTTTCTTACAGAAATGGCTGCTAAAAAACGTTCGGTGTTTTTTAAATTAAATTAATTAGATTTATTGAATCTGGTGCAAAAACTGTGAAGTTGGACTTTGCCTTGAACTCTATCATACTAAACTGCATTTATAAGGTATTTTTCCCTCAGCGCTTTATATTTCTTAAATTTTATACATTTTACTTTTTTATATTATGCAACAAATAGAAATTAAGAGTAATTTGACTGAAATTTATTTAAAAAAAGATTTTTTTTTTTTGGTGATAATATCTGAAATTGGTTTTTCTAGCAACTTAGTTTCTCAAGATAAAAATCTATATAAAAAATATTTTCTAGAAAGAAAAAGTAAATTTTCAATTCTCCAATATATATAGATTTAAAATATGGAAAAAAAAAAAAAAAAAAAAAAAACCGCCACAATATTTGAAGTGATTTCGGTTTACAAATTGGACAGTCAGAGGGTTAATGAATCCAAAAGTTAGAAATTATATTATTTTAAAATTTTTTTAAGGAACATACAACGGTAAAGTTTTCAAATTAATTCTGAAAACTACCTGAGTGCTCCTTTCATAATGTACAAAAAACTGGAGGAGTTTGACAACAAATATAATTTATGTGAATTTTCTTCCAAAGTAAGGCGTAGCAGAACACAAAATGCCTGTCCCCACAAGACAATATGCATCCAGTTAGTGTGCCGTCTTGACAGAGTGGTTCGATGACTGAGCTACCTATCCTGAATAGGTTAAAAGCAATGTATTCAATATAGTTTATGGTATTAAAATAAAAGGACTGCAAGATATATTGTGAGAATACTGAAAGGGGGTTAGAGGGTTGTAGGTTTTTAACTACTGACCTATATAATTAAATTAACTTTTCACAACAAGTACATGGAAGCAAATTAAAATTAATTTAATCAATTTTACCAATACTTGGTATTTCTCCTTTCCAGCATTAAGCCTGAATACTTCAGTTCCTGCCTGATTTCTTTCAGTGACTTAAAAGTTCTCAACAGTCCCAACTACTGTCTGACTTCTCTCAGTAATCTAAAAAAGTTTTAAATTTATGTAATCTATGAATCTTTATTCTAAAAGAAAATTTTAAAAAGATAGTGGGTCTGCATTACACATGTCACAAAATTCTGAATTCAAGATGGCTGAAAATAAGGGATTATGGCTACATCCAGAACACAATCACCCCGGAATTAGGGTAGTAGCAAATGCAGGAGCCTCATGAAATTTTAAATCTTTGACAACCAAAACGACCCTTCATTCAGACAACCACAACTGCCCCAAATTGCCGAAATTCTGATGTTGTTCTCTTCCCTCCCCTAAGATATGCAGTGGCACATGCAGTTTCCTCAAATGCGTTGTATCAGTTTATTGCACACAATGTGCCCTAAAAACATTTATTTGTGGTTTTTTATCATTATTTGTTAGAAGCAGAAAGGATGTCATTTGAAATCTTCACTCTTCTTCATGTGGTAATGGATGGGCTGGGGAGGAAATTGTTGTGACTCTCGAAAACCATTTTGGGCGGTTTATTTTAACATACATGTTAGTGAAGGCTTTGGTTTTCAAAGAGTTAACCTCAAAGTTTTTCCTTATTTCTCAGAACTGCATACTAGGCAGATCCACTCTTAGGAACTCTTGTAACTAGGCAGAATTTAAATAGAATAAATGAACTTAAATGCCTATTTAACACTGGTACAATTTCATCAGAAATTAAAAACCTTTATTATACAGCCATTCTTTAACTAAGTCAACATGATTTCCTCGAAAATTTACATAACATGCTATTTCATTTACATGGGATTCAACTTTTTCATTCAGTTTCTCTTCAAGGTAATTTTTCATATCATATTCAAAAACCTGAAATACAAATATAGAGTAAATGATTTTTCTCATCATAATCAAAAACTTGAATGATAAATATAGCATGAAAGATAAATACCATATTTATTAAATAAAAGTGAGTATATAAAGAATTAGCAGATATTAGAAAAAACAAGGAGATAAAGTACAGTAATTGGTTGGTTGGTTGACTTTTAATGGCACAAAACCCTGAAGGTTATGCATCAGAAGAATGGTGAATAAAATCTAAAATGCACAAACACACTGTATCAGATGAATTGTTGAAATGAACCTGTAATGCTGATGAAGGCATGGAGAAATAACTTTGAGAAATGCTTTAGCAGCAGGTAGAGCAGGATTAAAAAAAAGAAAAGAAAAAAAAAAAAAAAAAAAAAAAAAAAAAAAAAAAAAAAAAAACTTCATATCATATGGTAAGTACAGTAATTAATTGATTTATTCACAAGAATAATTAAAATATAAAAAAATTAAAGAGGATAGAAAAGTTTTTGCCCTCCCTAAAAATAAAAACAGTAAAAATATCTTCGCCACTTAGTTAATTTCTATTATAGTAAAACGTTAATAATATATTAATGAATATTTGACATTCCGTAACAAAATGACACTGCATTTATAAATGTTTCGAATTAAGTATGTTGAGAAAATCTATCAGGGAATTAAAAAATAAAAAATCTGATGGGGACATCACAACTTCCTTTTACGGCCTATTAAATTATATAAGTTTTTGCTGCATTTCATTGGAACTTAATTTCTCGAATTTCATCCGAGATATATTTCTCATAAATTAATTCAGTTCTCACTTCGTGGCAAAGCAAAAATATCTAAAAACTCAAATTAACCTCATTAAAAATTGCAAAGTACAGGGGAAAAAATACAGTTAAAATAAATAAATAAATAAATAAAGTTAAGAGTTTCTACTTAAAAACAACCAATTCAGCCAGCAGGAAAGAGGGCAGATTTATTGGTGCACAAAACTGAAAGCTTACTTTTGGTCCCACTCAGCAAAAAGACACTGAAGTTGATGCTGAAACTAATTAACTATTCTACTAGGAGTTTTTAAATGGCAGTTATGTTTAACTCAACACTTTTAATTATTGATAATTCTAACACTGTTGCATGCAGATTAACTAAAAGCATGAAAACCTTACCCAGAACATAAAAACCACATAATTCAATCAGTTTTAAAGCAAAAAATGCACAATTTACCAATATACAAGAAGAAAAACTGAAAAACTCTAAGCTTACCATGCAACATTACACAGTGGAAATATATATATATATATATACAGAATGCAGCCAATTTAAAAGAAAAGGGAAGTACACAACTAAATGTTATAGCAGTTCAGGGGTGTTTGTGGGACCCCCAAAAATCCCCTGAAACTTTTACGGACTTACTACCGACATTTTGGAGTTTCGAGAAGGGGGGGGGGAGAAAAATGAAAAATTACAATTATGAAGTATTGAATGACCTAATTATAAAAGTTCAATGAATTACTTTTTTTGCAAAATTAATAACCATAAATTTTCAAACATATAAACTACTACAGTTTATGTAAATATTTTGAATTACCTGAATTAATTCTTTAAAAAAAAATTATCTAATTTCTGCTGCTTTTTTTTTTCAATTTTCTGATGTTTGTGGGCTTGTCTTTCTTTTGTGGTGAATTTCATAATTGCAGGAAGGTTGACTTTTATTTCCTCATTTACAGTTGAAGAAATTTCCTCGAGAACTGCACATGCAGAGGTAGAAGCAGTTTGCTTTTCTGCTAATGTAGAAGGTTTTTCAGAGACTTTTATAGGTGACTCATCTGAAATACATGTTTTTAAGTCCTCTTGATATGTTTTCCAACTTCTGTTCATATTCAGTAAGAGATCTTTGTGAATTGGATCAGTCATTGGATTTTTTGAGCCATATTTTTCACATGAGGTTTCTTTAGAAGCCATTTAATCACATTTAATAGTCTGCACTGCATCTAGGGAATCAATCTTAAGAGAGGTTCTATAGTCAGTGACAAGTGTATCCTTTAAGTTGAATGCACTTTCCACTAATGGGCCATGGAAGCAGCTAAGGCAGGCTTTGACCAATTTAGCCAATGTAGGATACTTATAATCATTTGTGAAATCAGCTTTTAAATTAAAAACTTTACACCAATATTTATCAATTGTACACTTGACTTGATTTCCACTTTCATCAGATGTGTAGAGCATTTCTTTGGTGATATCAATATCACTCTGGTATAACCTTATTTCAGCTTCTACTTTTGACTTTTCATTATCACTAAAAATATGGGACATAAAAGATGATAATTTTTCAAAAGCTAATATTGTACTGGTTTTACCTCTTAGCTCTGGATCTAATGCTGTAAAACTAATTAGATATGAATTTTTAAGGGGTAATTTCTGTTTCATATGCTGTGCTGTATTAGTATAAGCTTTCAGAGGAGAAATTTGGAATTCTTTTGCTATTGGATGATTTTTTGATAATTTCTTCAGGAGAGTGGAAGCTTCTGCACCAGTAAATATTACTTTGCTAGGTAGATGGAATTCTGGATTTGTGACATCAACCTTTAATAAATCATTATAAGATGTGCACACTATGTTTTCTGGCTTCATAAAAAAAGAGAAAAATTTTGCCATCAATTTATAAATACTGGAATGTATTAAATGAAGTATTGGTTTTTTTGTTTCAAATAATTTAATATATGTGTTGAACTCTGGTAATACTGCTGAATATAGTGCCATATGCAATAAAGTTTTGTTTTGCATAACAAATAACCCATTTAGTATTCTTTTTTTCCGAGCTAAAGCATCCTTTGTGAGTTGTTGGGAATGCAAGCAAGAATACTACCCTTTAATTTTTTTCTGAGCTGCAGAAATATTTCTTTTATTGTATATAGTTTCAACATAAGAAAAATAATCCCCTTTATCAGTTTTATCCAAGTAGTGAAAATAAAATGCAATAAGAGCATCCCACAGATCTTTGATTCTTTCTAAAACACATAAAATGTACACCCACCTATGGTCTGGTCTCTTCAAGGGCTTAAGTTTTTTAATGGCAAGGGATTCACAGATTTTGAAAAAAATTTCTCTTTTACTGCAGCTTTTCATATCAAAATAGATGTCATCAAACAAATCTTCTAAGTATCTATCAAAACATGAAGCAAAATTTTTGCACAGTCATTAGCTGTGTGACAAGTGTCACCATCAATATCTAATAAGCGGGGTGCTTTGTTTGATCGTAGTCTGGTTTCAACATCCTTTTTTTTTTCCACGCATGGTGTTACATGAGTCCATTAATACACTAATTAAGTTTGCCCATGGAATAGTATTATCTTCAATAGTATTAACAACTGCTTTAAAAACAGCTTCTGAATTGCAAGATTCCATCTTTAGAGATGCAAAATGATGAACTACAAGTTCATTTTGATTGTTATCATAAAACTGCACCAATATTGCCAGTATACTTTCTTGAGCATTGCTAGTACTTTCATCCAAATTTAGAGAAAATGGAGTCTCCTTTAAAGTTTTAATGATGTTTTCCTTAATAGTTTTTACGAGCCCATATTTCATCTTATAACATGCAGTAGTCCTGGACATTTCCAATGAGTTTAGTGCCGTCTGATCGCGGCTCAACTGTTTGCAGAGTTCAATTAAATTGGGAGCTACATTGAAAGAAAGAGAATTCTCGGCGATAAACGAAGTTATTAATACCTCTTGGCGTGCTTTTCTTGTCACTATATCCAATGGCCGAGCATCAGTCTCCAATGAGTCATCAGTATTTTTTGAATTAGCATAATTACTTAAAGTCATTGAATGTCTAATGCACTTTGAATATTTTATATGCGTCACAGTTTTAGAATGATTTGTGAAAGCCTTGAATCCTTCCCCACCATACTTCAGCAGTGAGTTACAAAAAACACAATATGCTTGTCCAGCAACATTTATTTTCTTGCACCATGAGCCGATGGTATCCCCATTACCATCTCTCCGTTCAATCCAATTCCACCTAAATGCATTCCGGACACCTTCTTCTAATTGTATAATATCACTATTTATAACAAGAAATTTAATAGTGAAATTCTCTTGTGTACATAAATAAAAAAATATTTCAATAAACGAAATGAAAAATTTACACGTGCATCAATAAATGAAATGAAAATTTTACACAGCAGAGAAAAAAAAGTTGAGAAGCGATCAATGACAAATAGCTAATACGGCGAAAAATCCCCCTTCTCTACTTATTGGCGCCATGCCAGGAGAGATAACACCTTTGAACCCAGAGTCACACATCTGGTCGAACAAAGCCTCGACCTTTTTTTTCTGCCGCGCCTACTTGCCGAAAAGAATCCAGAAGAGAATGTCCGAGAACCGGGGGAATGAGTCATAACTCACAATAAGGAAAGAACAAAAAAGAAGTTTTTTCCCCCTTTTCAAGCATTATCACTGCCTTGGAGAGAAAGAAAGAAAGGAAAAGTTTTCACCACACACACACACTGACCTTGTGTTTTCTGCTTTCAAAGCAAACAAAATTACCCAGATCAAAATAAATAATTCATTATTATTCCTACTTCCTTTTGAACGACGATCCCCGGAATTTCCGGGTATTGAAGTTCAAAATCCCCGGAATTCCAAGGTTTCTCCGGAGCACAAACACCCCTGGCAGTTCTATATACAAAATTTCAGAGTTCTACGGTTATTCGTTCTCGAGTTTTGTGAGATACATTAGTATGTACAGATGTAAAAATAAAATCTCTTCCGAATCCATTTTACAATTCTTTTTGGCAAAAACAGTCTTTTATTTTGTCTGTATTTACATATGTTACGTAAACGCATCATTCAAATGGTTTCGAAAGCGCCGCAAATGGATATTTTTGTTGAAATGCGATATCCGAAATTTTTCATGATTACAATAATTCCTTTACTTTATACAAGGAAGTAAAAATGAGATGGAGAAACTACATACATAGTAATGTGAAGAAATAATTTGTTCAATTCAGACAAAATTCGCTCCTACATTCTCATTACCCAAATTTTGAAATTGAAATAATTCTGCTCTCCTTATTAATAAATAGGAAAAAGATTTAATGGTTCTGAAAATTTTCAAAAATATAAGAATTTTTACACAGATTATTTGAGGTATGTATGTGTATCAGGATACTGATCAAAGCAAATTTAATGCATTCTTATTGCACTTTTTAGTAAGGGAATTATCTTTTAACTCAGCACATTTTCCCTCCTTTTTACACACACAAACATCAGTGCAGCTTTCATAGTTCTCAAGTCAAATTACTTTGCCACATGCTTTCATTTCTTTGGCTGAAAGGCAGCAGAAAGTGTAGTGCAGATCTGAGACAAAATTAGTCCAATCAGAAATTCCTGTCTGCAATGTAAACAATACTGGATTCACACTGTACCTCGAGAATTATTATGTCAGTGCCAGATGATTGCCAAGGTCTGCACTGGATAACCAGAACTTGAGAAAATACTGTACTTTTGGCTTACTGTGTAGTGGCCTTAATGGGTTTCTGCATTGTATTCTAGTAAGAAACAAATGGTTACTGATCTACATGTGTCAGAAACAGTTACTCATGCACATATGCAAGAAACAAACCATTAACGATCTAATTGATCTTTTGTAATTGCATTGTGTCAATATAGTGGTTTTTCATTGTAAAATACTCATTATGCTTATTATTTTAAATTTTTTGTCAATAGAAAAGGAAGCTATAGTTGATATTTGAGGCACTGGTTAGAGTAGATTGAAGGGTGCCCCTTGGATTATCGCTAAGTTGTTGTTTCATTTATGGTAACTCGAGTAGTTGAATGCTATGGAAACCCTATTATGATGGAATTGGTTGCGTGATTGAAGTGAATTTGAATGATGGAACGAATTTTAGATAAGAAGTGCATCGTTATTTTGTAGTTTACGCAGTAAAATGGCTGAATGTTGTAAGATATATTTGAAATTTCTGTACGATTTTTGGAATGAAATGGAAAAAAGGATTAATTGATTGGTGTGCAAATGAAGGTTTACTTAGTTGCCATTGTGAGCGTCCTGTTTGTAGGAAAGAAATGCGTACAGTCGAGTGTCGGAGGATATTTTCGACTTATTTTTGTGAATTTATATGGTATACAGATTCTAGTTCAGATAATTTTAGGAAGTTTTGGGATGCTGTTAAGGAATTTTGTTTGACTGAAGAGAGGGAAATTTGTAAATAAGGTAAGTGGATATTTTCTTTGTGTAGTACTACGATGAATTTCCTCTTTTATGTTATTTCATTGTTTGAATAAAAATGTAGTTTATTGCGATTATATACTTTTTTGTTGGCTGCTCCTTTGACTTTTAAAGTGAATATAGTTTGATGTATACATGGACAGAGGGAGTGCATAATGCCTAATCTGTGCAATTCTCTGATTTTTTTTTTTTTTAAATGAAAATAGGTCAATGTGTACATGGATACAGAGTTTGAGCAATTCTTTGACTTATTATTTTGGATTTGTGTAGTGACAATTTTTGGCACAAAAATTCAGCACAAAGTTGGTGTCTGTGTATCGCAAATTACAGCCAAGGGACACTCGTAAATATATTTTTACCAAGACATTACTAGCAGAAACTGTAAAACTGAGCCTTCAAGAAAATGTCTGCCAAAAATGAATTCTCATTAGATCTATTTTATCTAGATTTAGCAAATTGCTAACAAAATAATAAAAAGAATGTTCAGGTATTTTGTTATTTTAAATAAATTGTATTAAACACTATAATAAATACAAATTTACATTAATTTTTTCTTGTATGTACATATCAACTTGTGCTGTACAGATATTTAATGAACTGCTGATTTATCCTCTAATGTCAGTTTTGTTAATGTACCATTTAGCAAAAGATTGCACTTAAAGCTAAATTGTGCAAATGTCATTTTCCCTTGCTCAGGCTGCTACGGAAGACAAGTACCCCCTCCCCCCCAAAAAAGATGAGAATGTTTTTAAAGAAACTAACACATTTTGCTAAATGGTAACAGTCTACCATGCTGGTGATAAAAATGTTTTCCTCGGAATTACTTTTAAATCTGTTAATCAGAAATTTATTTAAAATTTGCACAAAATATGTCAATGATATATAGAAAATAAATTACAAAATTCAGGTTTCAAGATGCATATGATGGAGGGGGGAGAACTATGTGTGTTACAAATTTGGTGGCTCTAGGTAGCTTTAATTTTTCACAAGGCAATCTTGCATTAAGAGGATTACAACGAACATTTACAAAAATAATTTAATCTGCAGTGAAAGGATAGAAAAAGAAATCAAAATTATCAACTAATGTATAGATAGTTACTTACCCAAATATCACCAAGAACTCTACGTACTTGAGTTACAAGTACTCTGTCCTTATATACACGTGAAGGATAAACAGGCAGCATATGATTTTTAGACCTCTCAATAAAATAAGGTAAATCTGGCAGATTTTCTGCAATCAAAATTGAAATTTTAGCATATTTTATTAGTATTTTTTACACTAAAAAGTTATATTTCTAATGAGGTATATTAATTCAGTAATTAAGTCATTGTGTTTCCTTTAATTCTGAACCTAAATACTACAAACAAATAGTCTTCATATTTTTTCGAAATGATACAAATCCACATAATTTTATTAAATTATATAGCTCAACTGTGACATGTCACATCTCCAATTAATCCCTCAATGATTAAAAAAAAAAAAAAGGATGGTAATGCATTATAACTAAATATTATTAATATATGTATTCAAATATTATTGGTATTATTCATCTTGCATTATGAAAACAATACATACTGAAAGGAAGGAAAAATCAAACAACATTTTCATCTAATGCACATTTGCCTACCCAATATTAATAGAAAATTAAAATACGTACTTTACATATTCAAGTTGATGGTTTCTCCAATTGGATTCCACACCCAAGGCTGTAGTCTGTTCCCCGACCACTATGTAATGTAACTAATGAGCACAGAGCATATTTTTTATGAAAGAATATGATATTTCCTTATTAAAGCAGTCATCTTTATTATTCACTAAAATCGAGAGATTGAATTTGCCAAGCCTGGTAAATTTAATCACAAGATTTATTCAATGGATTTAATTTTCAAACCGATTGCTCAGATTTCAGACCAATGCAGTCAGTGTGATACCACTGATTCAGTAACCCCCCTCTAAAATGTTCACCATATGTAAGTCAGGTGCTCTTCGGTTAATGGGGTCAAGTTGCCAACTGTGGTAGCCTGTTTTCATCATTAAGCAATAGCATCATTAAGAACAAGAATTAATATTAATACAGTAATTTTTCAGCCTAAATTTTCAGTTGCTTATGTGCTGAAGTGGGGAAATCATTCTTCACTGAATTTGTACCCAACACTAAACTTATGTAATTCTCTGATTTTTTTTAAAGAGAAAACAGATCGCTGTACATATGGCAAAAACTTTCACTTTCCCCATGTACACAATAATCTGTTTTCAATTCAAAAAGCAAGAATTGCATAATTTGGCACTGTGCACACAGTCAAAAGTCGTTTATCCGGACGTCCATAATCTGGACCTAAAAATCTACAAAATTTCTGCACATGCATAAACGCATAATATCTTTACGCATGCGCATATGCGTTTACAAGTGAGCATTTAATGTATAACGAACGGTATAAGCTAAGCTAAAATTATTTAATTATCTGTTTCAGTTAATGTTACAGATTACGTTGTTCCTTAATTTTCTAATTCAATCTGGCTTATTATTTTTTACAGACTGTTAAAGCAATTTTATAGAAAGCAAGCTTGAACTTTTGATTATGTCAAAAAGAATTTCTGATTCTGGAGCTGCCAAAGGATCTGCAAAGCAAAAGCATGTTTCGATGTCCATCAAACAAAAAGTGGAATTGCTTCAAAAAATGGATAAAGTCATATCCTTTGTTTTTCTAACCGTTCCGAAATCTGTTTATCAATTTCACGCTGCTCTGCGGGGGTGGGGGGAAGCATCGCGACATGCAATGAACTGGAAGTTGATCTGCCAGCACTATCCTTATTTTCAGGGCAGATGTTTTTATTTTATTTGGCTTATAATTCCTTATTAAATGTAGTATTTCATCTCTTTGATATGATTTAAATCAAATTCCTCATCATTATAAATATCACGAATACACATCAAATAGTTTTATGGTTGAAATTTTCTAATTTCAACTATGCGTATTGTATGCTTGATGCATGCACACGTTGAAAGAAATGTTTAACAAAGTAAACAAACAAATATTAAGCTTTTTTTTTTTTTTTTTTTTTTTTGTAATTTTGATACCCTTTAGATCATAATTGCTCTTTATTTCATAAATTACGGATTCATTTTTTAATTTCATAATTTCTGCATGCCATCTTACCAGATTTAAATTGATGATCTATAATCTGGAAAAACCGATAATCCGGAATCGCCGAAGTCCCGACGAGTCTGGATTAAAGACTTTTGACTGTATATGTTACATTCGTTATATACACAATAGTAATTCTTTTCATGCAGAGTACCTTTTATTTAGATTTTGTGACTATGTGTATACATATTAAATGCTGCCTTGCTAACAAAAAAGAACCTTAACTTATAATCAATTAGAAAAGAAGCAGTCAATTTTTTATAATATTTATATTTGATTTTCACATTCCTTAGAAGACATGATATTGTTCTTTTATTCATTATTTTCTCTTCAAAATGTATACAAGTTTTAACTTTCTTTTAATCAGAAAATAAACACTAGTTTCTTTATAGCATTATTCATTATTTAATATCCTTCATAACTTTTTCTGCTAAAAAATGTTATTAATATTTGATTCACCATCAAATGAAAATGGAGAGGCGTTTTCCTCAAGAACATGGAATTTTCTCATACCTAGAAAAGTGCAAAAATATAGCCACCATTTTATTGGAAGGTAAAGTATCTGGAGATGAAAATGGAAAATTGCATAGGTGAGAGGTAGTCATGCTGATAATTTACTTGATTCCAGGTACAGGGTTCATAGCCACATTTTAGTTAAAAAAATAAGCACCTATAAGCACTTTTCAAGCTCATTTTAAGAAAAAAAAAAAAAAAAAAATAAGCACCTGTCTAATTACATTAGACATAACTGCATAACTTCAAAAATTAGACTCGTAATTTAAAATATGATTGGAAATGCAGAACAGTCAAAAGTCGTTAATTCGGACCTCAAAGCTACAAACTTTCTGCGCATGCGCGTAAGACCTTTACAGCTGCGAATATGAGTGTGTGCGTGCGCAAAATACGAATATGCATTTAATGTATAACGGACGGTATAAGCTAAGCTAAAATTATCTAATTCAGTTAATGTTGCAGATTACGTTGTTACTTAATCTTCGAATTGGATTCGGCTTATTATTTTTTGCAGACTGTTAGAGCAATTTTATAAAGTAAGCTTGAACTTTCGATTATGTCAAATAGAATTTCTGATATATATTTACTAATATGTAAAGGATCTACAAAGCGAAAGTATGTAAGTCCATTAAACAAAAAGTGGAATTGCTGCAAAAAATGGATAAAGGCATATCCTTTGTTTATCTAAACTTTGTTTATGTTTAACACCCCTGGGTGCAATGAAGTGGAAGTTGATCTGTCAGCACTATCCTTATCTTCGGGGCAGATGTTTTTATTTTATTTGGCTTACAATTCCTTACTAAATGTAGTATTTCATCTCGATGTACTCAGTCTTTTATATGATTTAAATCAAATTCCTCATCATTATAATTCACTTCCGATAGCGAAGAAAGTAACAGAGGTTATTGAAAACGAAAAAAATTTCTATTGACAAATTAGTCAGTATTCTCGACACAGCAATTATAGGACTGGAACAGCAGAACTTTGTAAATGAACAAGAAATTATGTCTGTTTATAGAATTAAAGAGAATGTATTATCACATAAAAAACGAAGCAACTAAAACAACTTACATTAAAAGAAATGTTTAATAAAGTAAACAAATAAATATTAAGCTTTTTTTTGTAAATTTTGATACCCTTTAGATCATAATTGTTCTTTATTTCATAAATTACAGTTTCATATTTTTAATTTTATAATTTCTGTATGTCATCTTACCAGATTTAAATGATGATCTATAGTCCGGAAAAATCGATAATCCGGAATCGCCGAAGTCCCGACGAGACCGTATTAACGACTTTTGACTGTATTTATTAAGAGAGAATAAGCATTACCTCAACCATGGAAAATAATTACTTTTTTTTTAAATTTTAAATAACAGTTCAATTTACAGAACTAGTTTACAATGAGAAAATTAAAAAAAAAAAAAAAAAAAAAAAAAAAAATATGCAGAATTAAACTATATTACAAGATTTAATGATGAAATTTTAGTTCAAAATAGAGGAAATAAATAATAATAAGGCATATTTATTCTATTCGCTTGGAACTTAATAATAAATGCAATTTTTTTCCCACTCATATTGATATTTAACTAATTTAGATCTAAATTTTTCATCGTATATCAGTTTTCCCTTAACAGATACTGCAAGCAAAGTAATTTAAGTAAAAAAGAGGAACATTTCTGAAATCAGAAAACAGAAATTTGTTTCATGCAGTCATCCTTTAACAGTAAAAGCTTAACTACCCACATACTTGAAAATTGGCGAATATTCTGACAGTTGAGCATGACTTGAAAAAGAGGAGCGGAGGGGGGGGGATAGACTATAGACGTTCTTTAGATTTTTCCGCTAAATAAATGCTTTTGACATTTCGATATGTGCATCATATAAAAACAAACCAATGGAACAGAAAAATATTCTGCTTAGCAAGCACAGTAAAACTCTTTTAAAAAATGATAAACAAATCTCGGACTGAACATCAAAATTAATTATCTCTGCAAAATATCCCAAACGTTATTGCGCAATAAGTGCCCTGTAATTCTTCCCTACATGATATTACGCAATCGTATTCAACAGCTGTCGATATTGGGAGAATAAAGAACTAAATAAAGGAAAAGAAAGAGAATTACCAATCTGGGGTGTTTTTCATTCTAATTTTCGTTAACGACTGCCTTAAATTTCCGGAATAGAATCATTCTTTGCTTGTGTTGGTAGACCGCAGAACTTTTAGTCCTCTTCAATCCAGATTGGAAAGTGAAAAAAAAAAAAAGGTCCGTTGCCTTTTTTGCAACGAAGTGTAACTGTTTCAATATTCGAGATTTTGCGGAGAAAGGGGAGAACCTCCCAACCTTCGTACTGTATGGCCAAAAAAATTAAATTAGTTTGACTATTTGATTACTTTCCTTTTATTTAAGCCATTTCGAATATTATTAATTAGAAAGCCAATCTGTGTTAAAACACAACCATTTTTGGAAGTTTACTATACTTCAGCAGTTACTGCAACTATGTTATTATAAACATTCATAAGCATAACGATCATAATAAACATGAATATGAACTGACCAAGCAGAACGA